CTCATAAGGTGCGGCATTCCCAGCCCCCCCATGACACGGACGTTTGGTGCAGACTCGTCTGTCGACCCTATTCACGCGTCCCCTCCATAAAATGGAGGATAGCGATCGCTCGAGCACCTTCCTGCGGTCCTTACAGAGAGGAAGTACGGACAACCGATAAAGAATCAGGAGGAAAATGTATGTAACACACACCTCCGCCCTGCCCTTCAAGGACAACCGCCGTCGATTCCAAGTCTGACCGGCATAATTGACCTTTGCACGTACTTCAGACCAATTCTTCTCCAGCTGGAGGTCGGGCCCAAACCACACTCCAAGAATGCGGACAGGACCGTCCGTCCAACCGAAGCGGCCCGGAAGATCGACCCCCATCCAGGCACCTAACCGCAAGCCGGACGACTTGTCGCGGTTTATCTTGGCCCCTGTCACCTTCTCGTACCGATCAAGCGCCTTCTGTACCGCCTCAATGTCGCTGCGGGACGACACGAAAGCAGATACGTCATCGGCGTACGCGGAAACCCTGGCTCGAGACCCTCCAGGCACGGCAATTCCACGTAGGGCCGGACTGCCGGTCTCGTCCTTCAGCCGGCGAAGGAGAGGCTCCAACGCCAAAGCATAAAGGAGAGGCGACAGCGGACAACCCTGACGAACCGACCTAGACAGCACGAAAGCGTCCGACAACCTTCCGTTCACCTGTACCATAGCACTGGGGGAGCGATACAGGAGGCTAATCCAGCGGCAGAAGTTGGCTTCGAATCCAGCGGCCTGCAGGACAGTAGCAAGGTAGCGATGGTCAACCCTATCAAATGCCTTGGACTGATCTAAATTGATCAGCGCGGCTTCTTCGTCGTCTTTACACCCTCTATGATCGTGCGGATCAGATGCAGGTTGCTCTGAATTGTTCGGCCCCTCACAGAACAAGTCTGCTCAGGTCCCAACAGAGACTCGGCAACTGACTGCAAACGCTCCTGCAGGATCTTGGCCATAATCTTTAACTCTGTGTTTAGCAGAGTTATGGGCCTATAATCATCTAGGTTCCCCACCACCTTTGCCCTTTTTCAACAGAGTGATCACGCCCCTGGTAATCCGATTGGGGATGGACCCCGACCGAAACCAGTTGTTGAACACTGCTGTCAAAATCGGAACAAAGATGTGCGACAGCCTCAAGTACAATTCATAGGGCAAACCATCCAGACCGGGCGACTTGCCTCTGCCGACCTTCTTCAAAACCACGTAGACATCGCCCTCCGTAATCTCTCCCTCGCAGCTAGCCGCTTCAGTCGGCGAAAGCCGAGGAAAGTCAGCCAAATAGCTGCGAAACTCCTCCTCACGGAGACCAGGCTCCTTGGTAAACCGGTTCTCGAAATGGCGCCGAAACGCCTCGCACATGTCGTCAGTGGCCCGAAGAGTGTGTGCCCCTCCGGGATTTGACTTCACGAATAAAACGATCGCCACCTCGACGGACCTCTTCCCTACGCAGATCTGCGCCCAAGTTCACGGCTTCGGAAGACATCTTGCTTAACTTATGTCTAATTACCTGGCCCATGTACCGCTCGCTATTCAAACGATCCAGGGCCGCCCTAGCTAAGGCTATCTCTGGGGATCCCCCCAGCCACTGCCCGGGTGTAACTAGCTTTAAGTGTCTTCACCTTATCAGCTCTATCTAGAGCGAGCCGTTTGCTGAAATCAGTGGTGAAAGACCTAATCCTAGACTTAAGGCGCTCCCACCACTTATTCCCGATAACCGCCCCCACTAATTCCCGCTGCACTAATCTAGTTAGCTGTTCCTGGAAGTCCCGCCTGTCCAGTAAAGACAGATTGAACTTCCAGTACCCAGCCATTCTAGGCCTATGGTCTAACGCTACACGGGCACAAACAAGTTTGTGGTCCGTGTAGCCTACCCAGTGGAACGTAGGGCAATCTAACAGATCTATGTCGGCTCTTCTCACTAACATTCTGTCAAGGTAGCTAACCACCCTGTCAGAAGGCCAACTAAGAGCCCACGTCCACATGTTCCCCCTGGATGATCGACCCGGTATCTATCGACGAGACCATAGTCGTCGATCAGATCAACCAGGCTACGATCGTCCCTTCTCCCACTAGCACCCCGCCCCTGTCTAAGTCGGGGTCCAGAACGGCATTCCAGTCCCCCATTAAAACTAGGCGCGTTGAATCAACCAGGAACGGCCCCAACCGCCGAAAAAAACGAGACCCGCTCCTCCTGGTCATTGGGCGCATAAACCGCAACGACTCGGAACGAACCACTTTTCACGGCAATATCGGCCACGATCAACCGGCCCTCGGCATCGGTATGCACAAGGTCCACCTTCGCATCAAGAGTCCGTCTGACAAGCAAAGAAACTCCTCTGGCAAACCGGTCCCCATATGCTGAATAGACAACAAAGTCATCGTCCAGCACACACGCATCGGCACTGCAAACAAAGTGGGTCTCTTCGATCGCGGCGACATCCACATCCAGGGACAGAAGGTCCCGGAGCAGGCGGGCAGCCTTACCCCGATCCCTTAAGCCCCTCACATTCAGAGTCGCTAACTTGGTTTCCATTTTCTAGGCCTGCAAAAAATAGAAGAATAAGCGCAAAAAACCTATTCACATACGGGACGGAAATCTGAGGGTGAAAGGACCCCGACGGATTGTCCCAGGCTCTCCACTCCTAATACTGACGTCATTCGTCCTTCTGAGACAATCCCGCCGACGTCCGTGGGATAGTTCAGTTTAAGGGCCCTATATAATGATGGATGGAGAAGTACTGGGGCCCTCCCTGCACAAAATGTTTGCATTTTTTTCAACTCCTTTGTCGCCATCTCCACCATCCTTATCTCGGGGAAGGCCTCTCTGGCCTCAAAGAGATGGGTCCATACCTTCAAATGATTGCTGGTGTCCCGGATCAGCCCAATAACACCCGGAGCACGAGGAAGTTTCTGGGGTCCTCCACTGATTTGCCGTCAACTGTTGACAGCTTTACTAGAGGACCAAGTAGCACCCTCTTGCGGGAGGAGAGGTTTTTCTCCATCTCCCCCTTGTCTACTCTGCAAATATCTTCGACTTTGCCGAAGATCCTTTTCTTCTTCTTCCCCTATTTGGGGGCGGTGGGGTGGGAGTGGATGAAGGGGTCGGAGTAGAGAGGAATGTTTGGGGAGTTGGAGGGTCTGATGCAATAGGAGTAGGCGTATGCGGAGGCGTGGGGGGTGTTAGGAGGGGTGGAAATCTAGACAGGAAGGAGGGAGACTCCTGTCTGCAGGTGTGTTCCCTTTCTTAACAGGTGAAGAGGGGGCAGATGTGCATCTGTCTCTTTCCCTACCCCTCTCTTCACTAACATGTCCAATCAACTTGTGAATTTGCTTCACCTGTTCCTCTTCTTCCTCCTCATCTTCCTCGCGATTTCTTTTCAAGGAAGTGGCCCTTTTGGGAGGTACTTCCTCCACCTCCATGGCAACGTTTTCTTTTGCCGGGCTTTTTGCCGGACTTTTTGCTGGATGTTTTTGCTGTTGTTTTTGTTGCTGTTGTTTCTGTTGTTGCTGTTGCTGCTGTTGTTGCTGCTTCTTTTGCTTCTGTTGTTCCTTTGTAGGCTGGACTTCTTTTTGCTTCTTTTCCGGCTGTTTTTTGGGGGACGTTTCTTTCGGTACCGGAACGATAGTATTTTTCCGTCCCCTATCCACTTCTTTCCAGCCTTCTTCGGTGGGTTTTTCCAGTGTTGGTTTCACAATCACAGCTGCTGTTGTTGCTGATGCTGGAGTGGGGGCCGTTGGTTTCACATTTTTGCCCGGGCACTCCTTGGACATGTGTCCCGACGCCCCACACGTCCAACAGCACGGCTTCCTTCCCTCGACCACAACCAGCATCCTCCTCTTTCGGCATACCAGTGTGTTTGGGATTTCCCGGAAGTTCTCTCTATTAACTGTTATCTGTACTTCCATGTCCCCGGTCTGAATTCCGCTTTTTACTGACGAGGGCCTTGACTTCGTTTACTTCGCCGTATTGGACGAAGAAGGCCCCATCCTATCTTCGCTAATGTCTGCTGGGACACCGTGAATTGTCACCTTCGTTCTGCGGGTTCCCATATACTCAGTCTGCATCCGCAGATTCTTCGTTGTGAGCAGACTTCCAGCCAGTGCTTTCGCCTGCTCCTCTGTCGCTAGGAGGATGTCCCACAAGGCGTTCGTTCTACGCGCCAGAATTTTGGGGTAGATATTTAACGACTTCAAGCCCTCCTCCATCACTTCTCTGCCAACACCGATCAACTTGCGGGTCTTTACATCAGATGTTAACAGAGATTGTTCTCGTATCAACAGCATCTAATGCTTCTTGAATGGTAAGAAATTCATTACCTTTAAACGATTCCTTAAACTTTTCCCTTGTTCACAGTAAAAGCTGCATCTTTTGTGGCGGCCTGTTTTAACCCAGGCCGTCTTTGAGGGTGACACCGGCTGTGAAGGTGGTGTATTGCCTTCGTCATTCTTATTGTCGGCCATGATGGGATTTTTCGGCCCACCACGCCGAACAATTCAGCTTTGTTCCTTCCTTTAACTTATATTTTTTGTTTTCACATACGTCAAAATAATAATCAAAATAAACAAAAACAAACGTACAAACTCAAACGGTAATAAACAATTCAAACAAAAGAAAAAGAATGGACAACAAAAACAAGGAAAATTCACAAAAAGAAAAGGCTGAAAGAAAAAGGTAAACTAAAAAGCAAAAATAAAATTCAAACGGAATACAAAGAGAAAAAAAATAGACAAATGCAAAACCAGAACAAGGAAAACTGAAAATGAAAAAAGGGTGCAAAAATTTAAACTTAAGAGCTTATCTTTTTAAACACAATGGAAACTCAGGTCAATCGCAAAAGCACAAAAATACACACGAGGGTCTTTGAATATATATGACCAGTGAAGCCTAGAAGAGCAGTGCCCTCCCACGTCCACTCGCCTGGTTTTTAATGGGTAGCGTGGTTCTCTTATGCAAATAAGTTTGCTGCATAAAAATGGCAGTAGGCGTACGCACGCGCAACCGACTCTCAGAGAATGGTTCGACACGCGAGGCAGCGAATTCGCTTTGCTCCTGGTAAGTCACTGTCACTTCTATTACAATATCCCAAGGTTAGAGTTCTGGTAAAATTACCTATATTGATTGAAAGGTTAAGGGTTCTGTGTATTGGATAAAAGAGTGTCACCAAATATGACGTGTTTGAAAGCAGAAGCGTGAGCACCCCAAAATAAGGTTCGACATTGTAATATTGATCAGACATTTGAGGACGGATGGACAGAATAATGGCCAAAATTTCGGATAAAGAACAACCAGAATATTACGTAGATTCATTTAAAGTTTATGCAGGTTTCTTTTCGAGGTTTTTCTGTGATGTATTCTATCAAAATAAAGCAATGACGTATTTAGAATGTCTATAAACGTTTTATTGCTGTTGGTTTTGAAAACCAAAACAAATATATGAAATCCCATAAAATATTAGAAAACAAATCTGCAATTGAAAATACATTTGATATTTATACTTGAGTGCCGTCAAATACAGAGAACTGCCATGAAGTTTTATTGTTACAAATGGCAGAGAAATCGTTAAGTTATACTGCAAAACAGCTTCACATAGAAGCCACTATTTTGTGCAGTTTAGTGAACTGTGACGTAAACATCTACAATCAACACAATATTTCTCTTCTTCTATGTACCGTGTTCCTCCAGAACCTGCGCGATCATGGCTCTCCACAATTTCCTGTCCTGAAAGTACTATTAGATAAGATAGTGATAGAATTGTAGAATAACTATTAATTGTAAGAAGATGGAATGCGTGGTTGTCAGCAAAAGTAAAAGCCTAAGATGTGAGCTTTATGTTGGGGATGTTGAAATTAATGAGTTCTTCTATGTGTCTTTCCCCTTCATGACGTTGGCGATCATAGCTCTCCACAATTTCCTGTTTTCTTGTCTTTCTGTAATGTTTCTTTAACCTTGTTCTGCTATCCATTTATACAAGCTCGTTAGGTTGGTTCTGCGCTATTTTCCTCTGCCCCCCCTTGCGTTCAGTATGACTTGTCAGTGTCAAATTTTCCAAGCCTCTTTCCTCATTATGTGCCCTAGAAATTTTAATTGTCTCTTTCTGATTTTAAATATGTCCTTTATTTGAATAGTTTGAGCAGTGTGGATGTCAAGAGAATTAATTTTGCAATTTATCTTTCAGGCTTCGAATCATATATTATCCGTTTTTCTACTTTTATGTGACGTGTAAAAAGATGTGTCTTGCGGCAGGATTTGAACTCGCATGCTCTTTACAAGGAAAACCATCGTCTGATCCTGCGTGATTTGACCGCTCGGCTACGGAGAGATTCACTGTCAAGCATGGTTCTATTCACCTTAAAACAGTCATTCATTCAGATTTTATCGCAAGTCGAAAAGCATTTATGAGTCATTGGAGGTGACAAATTATTCTCCACTCTCCAACCTCTCTCTGTCTCACAGGTAGGGTGTGGCAAGGCTCTCACTGCTCTATTGCTACTTCCGTGGAAAGTATTCGGGCGAACTGCATGCCTTAGTTCCACCAATTCTAACCTTCACCCGCCATGCCACTCACATTGTAGCAAATCACAGCCTTGTACAAAGTAAACATTACTGTAATAGAAAGCCAAATGAAAACTTTTCTTTACCAATGCGTTTCGTTCTTTGATAGGCTTTTTCAAGGTAAATCAGAGGACGAAACGCGTAGGTAAAGAAAAGTTTTCCTTTGTCTTTACTCCTATAAACTTTATTTTATTTATATCTGAGTTTTGTCACACGCACACAGATACACACATACACACACACACACACACTCTCTCTCTCTCACACACACACAAACACACACATATATATATATATATATATATATATATATATATATATATATTGAACACGTATACATCAAGTGCTCCACTTCAGTTGAGCGCAGTGCTTCAACAAAGTTTCAGCCCATTACTAAGAGGTATATATATATATATATATTTGCTTGCATCAAAATTTAAAGTTTTTGCTCAGATCAAATGTTACAAGTTTTAGCTCGCGTCAAGTTTTAAAATTTGGGCTTGCATTAATATGTTTTAACCCGAATCAGCAGTCTTAAATATTATCTTCCATTGCCTTCCTAAATAACGCCGGATTAAATAAATGTAAGAAACATTTATTCTTTGGATTAACTTTTCTTTAATGAAATAAGTAATAAATATGAGGCATTACTTTCGGAGCGTTCGCCGAATTTAATTAACCTTTATTTAATTAAACTTTACCTTTTAAGGTACTTTCAATTAGATTGTTGTTTTAATATTCCTACTCAATGGCTCTCGACAGCGAATAAATTATGCCGATCACATAATTTATGCAAACTATTTTATTATATTGAGCAAAAAAATCAAAAGCAGATGTTTGTAGTATGGCTATAGAGAGGCGGATGTTCGTAGTATGGCTATAGAGTCCGCTAATAAAGCCTCATTTTTCGCCTATCTAAAGACAGCAGGTGAGCGACAGTTAATTCAAAATGGCGTCTAATATAAAAGTCTTTACGAAGCAGACGTTTCTCATGCAAAAGTTTCACACTGATTGACATTCACTGATACTCACTGAAAATTTGCGAATAGGGGATGGCGATAGGTGTAGCAAGCCATATTTTAGTGAATGACAAGATGGTCAAAAAATGACCTGCAATCTATTATTAACTTGCGCAAGGAATAGCTTGTTAATTTTAACCCCTCCAAAACGAATCAGCATTGCTAATCTCCAGAAAAGTGAGCCGTTAAGCTTTCTTAGACTAACGTTTTTCGCTGACATGAAGTCGAAAAATTATATTGAATCAATTGCTAAGTCTGCAGCTAGAAACGTTTCTTCATTGTTGTGTGGTAGACAATTTCTCACGCCCGAATCTATCTTTCTCATTTATAAGTCCACCATTCATTCCTGCCATAAATAGTGCTGCCATATATTGGCTGGTGCTCCTTCTATACACTTAGAAATCCTTGATAGCGAAAGAAGAAACAGAATATAAAAATCTGAACTCAAGCAAGAAGAACATCTCCACAAGCAAGATTCATAGCAGACCAGACCAAGTAAGAGACAAGATATAAACTGTGACACTATTTAGGTCGCTAGAAAGAAAGAAGAAAAAAAGAAAGGCGAGAATTAAATTTAGGTGATAAGAAGCCATCACGAAAAGAACACTAAGCGATGTTATTTTTTTTAACAAAGAAAAATGCTAAAGGTTTTATTCTCATTAGTGAGGAAAGTAAGGTCGCGGTTGTTTCGGATTTAATCTGATTTATGTTACAGGGCGGCGAGTAAGATATATCCAATCTGCCCATGGCAATGGTAAAAATTTCAAGTTGGACAAGCGACCTCCCGCAGAATTCTAAAGAGATAAAAATTAATTAGGTCAAGCTTGACCGAAACCAAAATGTCCGTGGGACCACCTCCATGTCATTTGGGAAATACATCTGTTTTGTGCCAGGAGCTGGCTATGATAAGAAAATTATTTTATCAGGAATAATTAACGCCAGAATGCGATCTCATCGGATGACCACCCACTTGTTTGGCGCAGGTCTCGGGTGATGAGTTCCAGGTGACATTTAGGATAAGAATTGCTATTAAGGGACCACAGAAAGAAAAGAAAGAAAAGAAAAAAAAAGGAGATAATTTTTTTTTTCTTTGAGTGAGATTTTTTTTAAACCGAGGCTAGTCTAGCCACACCCACACTGCTGGGCGCCTATTGGCTGAATGCTGGCGTGAGCGTAAGGCGAAGGTAATCATGTGAAGTAGGAGGGGAGGCCTGTTGGCATCCATTGAAGAGATCGGTATGAGATGCCATTATGAGAGAGAGGGGAAACCCGTTGACACCCTCTGAGGGCATGGTGAGACACCAATATGAGAACAGAAGAAGGTGGGAAGACGAAAGACTTCCAAAAAATGGAAAATAATAAATTTTCCTGACCGAAAACAAAGAAGTGGATTGTGGGTTTAGAATTATCAAGGAACCTCAAATCCCGACAAGCCCACACCAGTTTTGGTCGGCGTCCATATAAGCAGAGTCGCAGCAAGTGAAAAGCAGTTCCAGTTGGGGTTGGAGACAGACAGGCAAGCAGTTGCAGTGAGCTGAGATCTCTGAGGACCCGCCTCGCAGAAGCTGACTAAGATTCGCGCATTATCGACCTCAACTTCTAATCAAGAACAATTTATTTTTGAAGAACGACTTAGACTCACACCACCAAAACAAGTTTTACGAATATCCCCTGAAGATACACCAAAACCAGTTTCTTAAAGAACAAACAACTTAAGATGTTAAAACTCGCCTAACAAACACAAAGTGTCACGATCCATATAGCGGGTTGGGAAGAAGACTCAGTCCTGTATTCAGAAACCAGATATAAAATATTGTCATCCTTTTTTAACACATTTGAACTTTTCAAGTTATTATTTTATTTTCTTTTACATATACTTGTGCGGTATTGCCCTTGTTCGGACCCGACTTGGATTACGGCCTGGCGACTGATTGATTTCGTCTACCTAAGATCAAATCACAACGTGCGTAGGTTAGACTAGAAATCAAAGCAGTTACTTCGGTGACCAGACGTTGGAGGCGAGCTGGGAACGACAGGGCTGATACCGAATCTATCCAGATTCCCATCCGAATCAGCAAAAGGGTAGAACGTCACATTTGGTGTCGCGACCAATACCAAGTCACATTGGTCGTCACAAGACAGGATAGGACGGCGACGGCGCGGAGACAGACGCGGTGACGTCACAATTGGCGCTGCGACTAGGACAGCACAGCGGGCGCGGCCAGGTAGATGTCACGATTGGCGCAGCGACACTGGGGGACGTCACAAAACTTATAAACACATTTCTAAGCTTGCTCTGTTCTTTCTTAAATATTACTTTGTAACTGACACATTAACTGCTAAATGCATCAATATTTAACAATCTGCCATTCTGTATCAATATATGTGTATATGTACATAAATCTGTGATTTTGTGAAGCTTAAACAATTTCTCTTGTGGTATTTTACCTGTCATTTCAAGACCAAATGCGTAGTCTTACAATTACCATAATGGATTAATGTCATTATTATTAGTGAATATTTGATAAAACCCTTCACGAAGAGAAAGTCTCTCGGTTCCGAACTGAACGAATAAACTTTGAAAAAAGGCAGGTAACCTTCAATTTTTAGACTATTCTTCAAAATCCGTTGGTGACCCGGAACAAGCAAAAAGTGTAAATAATAATTTTTCTGTTATTTTTTCTAATTTTATTTTACCTAATTTTGTTTAATCAATTCACACCAAGCAAGGTGATAAAGCCATTAAGACGCAAGGGACGACTGGGAGTGGTGTCAATGAACGCTCGTTGCCACTTTTGCGATGTCAACGAATACTCCTTATCACTTTCGTAATGCTCGTTGTAGTAGAGACTTTGTAATCACAGATATAACTATAGCAACGTCGTTGAACAATACTGGTATCAGACGCGTTTGAATAACACTCGCACTAATTGTACTTGCTCGATAATACTCGCTCGTATAGTATCCACCGAATAGTAATCCGAATAGAGAAATAGTATAGTGAATATAGTAGAGAATAGCGGTTCGTATAGTAATAGAGGATAGACTAGAAATAGCGATCCGAATAGTAATAGAGGATAGAATAATAGAAATGTGATCGTAAGTCGTCAGCTACTTCCTACATATACAAATTTCCTCTATGGTCACATGGTCTACTTAATTCAATAATGGGATCACCTGTGTTTGCTCAATGGTGACCTATGTTCAAACTCAAGTGTCGGCAGCGACACTTTATTCCTATATAACAGAAAATGAATGAAAGGACTTTAGAAGGAACGTAAACCCGATTTTAAAACAGGAAACGATGGATGAACTTCTACTCCGATTCAAAAGATCGGGGAGGAGTGTGAACCGAACGATAGGCGAACCTATCTACTCCTATTGAGAAGGAAAATAATTAGTAAATAAAATTTCAGTGTTCAGGCGGAGACGTTAGAAGCATAGAGCTGAAGCAGGCTTACGAAGGAACTGGAAACCGAATCCTAGAGAGAAAACAAACGATAAACATGTACTTCAAAAGATCTGGGAGGAGTGTGAACCGAACGATAGGCGAACCTATCTACTCCTATTGAGAAGGAATATAATTAGTAAATAAAATTTCAGTGTTCAGGCGGAGACGTTAGAAGCATAGAGCTGAAGTAGGCTTACGAGGGAACTAGAAACCGAATCCTAGAGAGAAAACAAACGATAAACCTTTACTTCAAAAGATCTGGGAGGAGTGTAAACCGAACGATAGGCGAACCTATCTACTCCTAAGTAAAGCTAGGAAAAGATTACGATTAATTCTTACGTTTCGTTACGCTTATGAGACCAAAGTCTAGTGTATTCTAGCGTTGGGTCGTGAATTTGGTGACATAGATATTGAGAGTTCAATCCCTGGATTGGGTAGTTCAGATTAAGAATCATTAGAAACAGATCGAGTAATAACTAAGCAGTACTAATTAAGAACAAAACGAGATATCCCTAGACAATGGCAGCGGGCCTGGATAATGTAGCTTCGTTGATTAAATAAAATCTTCACTTCGAAATTCCCTGAGCGACACACATTTGAAGAAGCTCGCAAAGCACAACTACCCAAAATTTCTGATAATGCCAACAAAGATGAAGCCATCTGTATGTATATAATATTTCTTACGTATTTTTCTGGCTTGCTATTATCCTCGAATCTACTCACTTAAAGATGGTATGGTTCATGTGAATTCTGTTGCGTCCGTGCATTGAATAATTCTGGCATATCCAGTATGCTGCTCCTGCTATATATTTCGCAATTTTCGGCAATATCCAAAGAAGCATCTGTAATATTATCGGTCCTGACCTGGCATCTCGACTGTATTAAAGTGGTTTCACCGTGTCTTTTCTATAAATAATTATATTGTACTTGTTCTGATGAGCTTGATACTTCAAACATAAATTTAAGGAATGGCAACTTGGTCTCATTGTTTTACTATTAAAACAGCTAGATGCAAACGTTATATTCAAATTGTTTTTTTCTCGCACTTCGTGTCTGTTGAGCTCTCTTCCGCTTTCTAGCTTCCCAGGCATCTACGATATTTAAACATTTAAATGTAACGTCAATCGCCATCTTGTTTCCCAGAAACAAACTCTTTTATTGTCCTCACTTTTCACTAAAGTATACTCATTTTCGTTCACTCACAATAACCCCTTGCATCTTAGTGGTTTTATCGCTTTGGAAGTTATTAGATGCTCTATTTCACTGCTGATGTTGTGATGCAATAAATTCTAGAAAATAATCTTAACCATTAGAATTTGTTTGGTTGATTTTTTTTTTAAGACATATCAACACTTATGCCGTTATCTAAATATTTGGTACGCAATTTTATGGTTTCAACTTCATATATTTTGAACAAAATTTCATACTTTCAGCTTGATATATTATGAACAAAATTTCATGGTTTCAGCTTCACATATTTTTAACGTAATTTCATGGATTCAGCTTCACATATTTTTAACGTAATTTCATGGATTCAGCTTCACATATTTTTAACGTAATTTCATGGATTCAGCTTCACATATTTTTAACGTAATTTCATGGTTTCAGCTTCACATATTTTTAACGTAATTTCATGGATTCAGCTTCACATATTTTTAACGTAATTTCATGGATTCAGCTTCACATATTTTTAACGTAATTTCATGGATTCAGCTTCACATATTTTTAACGTAATTTCATGGTTTCAGCTTCACATATTTTTAACGTAATTTCATGGATTCAGCTTCACATATTTTTAACGTAAATTCATAGATTCAGCTTCACATATTTTTAACGTAATTTCATGGTTTCAGCTTCACATATTTTTAACGTAATTTCATGGTTTCAGCTTCACATATTTTTAACGTAATTTCATGGTTTCAGCTTCACATATTTTTAACGTAATTTCATGGTTTCAGCTTCACATATTTTTAACGTAATTTCATGGTTTCAGCTTCACATATTTTTAACGTAATTTCATGGATTCGGCTTCACATATTTTTAACGTAATTTTATGGATTCAGCTACATGTATTTTGAACGGAGTTTTATGGTTTCAACTACATATATTTTCACATGAATTTTATGGTTCCAGGGACATATTTCGAACAGTATTTTATACTTTTAATTACAGATATTTTGTACGCAGTTTTATTATTTCAACTACATATATTTTTAACGTAATTTTATGGTGTCAGCTACGTATATTTTTAATTTAATTTTATGCCTTCAACTACATATGTCAAGTACATAATGTTGTAATTCAAGGGTAAACGCATATTAGATATATATTATGTAGATAAAGTGTATTAGTGGTAATTTCGTTTATAAAAAATATATTGCTGGCATTTTTAAAATAAAATGTAATTTTTTATATTTTCCTAGTGTTTTGACTTTTGTCTGGTGGTTCACTACTTTCCACAGCTAGGAGCCTAACAGGTGCTGCCACAGCTAGGAGCCTAACAGATGCTGCCACAGCGGGTTAGGTTGGACCTGGTAACAACAGCTATTAAGAAGCGGTTCCACGCTACTCAAAATCTCCAGTCTCCTGATCAGAGGCTTTACTTCCGGATGTAGCTTACCTTCATACCCAGGATTACTCATGATGGAAGGGGTCTTAACCCTTTGCAGTGGTGAAGTCGGCGTATACTACAACCAAAGCCAACAAGGTGAGAACCATTACAAGTCTCTTTTATTATGATCAATTTTCACTGGCAGCGATGTGACATCTGAGAGAAGAATTTTCTCTTTCAATTCTTCTTCAATAGCCATACGTCAGTCATACATACATTTACGTCTGTGCTGACAAATACGTAAACATTTTATTCATATGGAGATAACTGATTCTTGTCAATATGCACTCACACAGACAATCTTTCCATTTTAATTTTACGCAGTGAATTCCGTTTAAAGATGGAAACAATCTTTTTTCGTAAACGATTTTTTTCTTTTACAATTTTGAATTTTATCTTTAAGCTACACGAAAACACAATAGTTTCCTATTTGATGTATGAGCAAAAATAATCTTACAAATATCAAATTAAAAATATTTCATATTGGATTCACTGACACATAAAATATAATTCTGTGTGAAAAATAGAATATCGTGATGGTTATTTTGTTTTTGAGCTGAAAATTTTAGCTGCATTTTAGATATTGTTTTATATGTAGGATATTAAGGAAAGCCGGAGAACTTTCCTACAAGGCAGGTGAGATTGAAATAGTTTATTTCATTTTATTCATATCTATCTATCTATCTATCTATCTATCTATCTATTTCTTGCCATCTCTGGCTGTCTGCCTGTCTGTCTCTATCTTTTCTCTCTCTCTCTCTCTCTCTCTCTCTCTCTATATATATATATATATATATATATATATATATATATATATACAGGGTGGGGCAGAGCAACTTGCTTATTTAAATTTGGCGCCCTAAAGCGATGGTTGCTTCAAGGATGGTAGGGATGGGCTTATTTGAGAGGGTGTAGCTTAAAGTCTGGTTCTTAACGTGCGTTATTTATTTTTTGTTTATTTTTCAGGAACCCCAGTGACCATCATGGAGTGGACGAAGTTGGAACGCGCTTTCGCTGTTGAGGCATTTTTTTTTCAAGCGGTCGCTCAATCGTCGCAACGCAACGTGCATTCCGTAGACATTTCAACATTGCCCCCCCGTGGTCGTGTTCCTGGCCGGCAGTCGATTGTTTCATGGGTAAACAACTTCCGGGAAACGGATGATGTAAAGAAAAAGAAACCTGGCCTCTCACGAACAGCAAGGTCACCTCAAAACATTGACTCAGTGTATAGAGAAGAATGGACGCCATCTTACTATCATCTTTAAAACTGGTAAAAAATAAAATTTAAATGTTGAACTAGTTGCAGTTCAAAGAATTACATGTATACCTGAATTAATTGTGTTTTAATTGATATTCCAAATAAGCAAGTAGCTCTGCCCCACCCTGTATATATATTTGTAGTATACATTGTCATTTTGTTGGTTGTATCCTGGAAATTTACGGAACATAAAATCCAATTATACTAAAATGATATAAATGCAACATTCGTATGGTGTTGAATTACAGCAGAAAAGCATATATCACATATTTAATTGTAGTATTATTATATTTTTATGGATATATATATATATATATATATATATATATATATATATATATATATATATATATATATATATTCGTATATTTTGGCAGCATGTTTTCATTAAGACAAGTCTCATTAAATAATTTAGACAAGTTATATATATATATTTATTCGAAAATTATAAAAAATATGTTATAAAATCACTACAAAAATAGCCAAATCATTTACTAAGACTTCAAATTTGAATATTTCTTGGTGTGTATATGTGCGTGTCTTTATCAATGTATGTGTGTATAATCGCTTATATGTGCCTTTCATTGTATGTATATGTTGCCGTTTTTTTTTCTTAAGAACGTGGACAGCGATTTCCTGTTTCCTCGCTTTTCTCTGCCTGTTTATAAATCTAAATTTGTCTACGTATTTGTGCATTATAATCTTATTGTGCATGTATTGTCTTTTGAAAGAATTCACCATCACTTCAAATGTAAGCAATATTAGATTTTAACGTTTATTCTCACTTAATTTTTGGCCTTTCAATAAAAACAAAATAAATAATAACACATGTATTTTTTCCTCAGTTTCTTCTTTAAATTTTTTTTATAATTTTTAAAACTTAATACAGATTAAATTTAAAATTGGTAATTTTTCATTTTGAATTTTATAGTAAAATTTAATATTAATTAGTTAGAATGAATGAATTAATTTTTATAAGCAAGGTTCGTTGTCAAGTATTTTGAATTCCCATATACTTGTATTTTGATTGGTCATTCCAGCTTATGTAAAAGCGTTTCCCCTGGCGAGGAGTGTTTGGATGAATTTTGAACCTTTTAAAACCGATAAGACACCAGAAGTGTTGAAACAAAATGGCTATTTTTGTAGTGATTTTATAATATATTTATGTTGTAATTTTCGAACAAATCATTATATTTGTTCTACATATATATATATATATATATATATATATATATATATATATATATGGGGACATTGTATGATAAATTGGAAAAGTTTACTTGTGACGCATTTCATTCACAACTTCATCGGACTATATTTGTTATGCTGGTACGACTACACTTGCGCACGAACGTGATATGCTGAGGATTTTAGAATTTTTTAGGATTTATTTTTATTTTTTTTTTATATCTATCCGAATTCATTTAGAGTCTTTTTCTTTTCATCAATTTTGTTAGTAGGTATCCCACACTGTGATATTAGAAAATCACCCAGGAATAGTGAAATACTGTAAAAGCCAGGGCGCAAATTTACTGTAGATTGTCTTGCAATCAAAGCACTCTCTACACATTTACGTCGTAGAGAATTGTTTTCTCCTTTGATCAGAGAATCATATTTATACCAATATAGCAAACCAACGCGTTTGGCGTATTGTTTTGTAAAATGTCCCTCTTGTGTTCAAATAATCTTTTTTTTAGATACTTTAAAGTTTATCCTATGTAGGTTTTGTGACAATTATTACAAGAGATGGAATAAATTCTTCCTTAAGTTTTTAGATTATTGTCTTGTTAAGTATTGACTAAGTCTTTTATTGTTTTGGATGCAGTAGTAACACATTTTATGTTGATTTTAGAGAGATTCATATATACATACGAAATGGAAGAACAGAATTTCTTACCCCTCCTAGATATCAAGCTACACCGCATGTGTAAATCTCAGTGTCCATCGGAAATCAACCAACCTCATAAATTTCTCATCATAACAACAAAATAAAATCCGGCATAATCGTCGGATTCTACTTAATAGCACTCGGAATATGCATCCCGCATTATTTACTCGAAAAGTAGAAAGACATTGGAAACACATTCAAACTTTTCCAGTAACTTAATTATTTTATATTCCATGCAAAACGAATAGGCCATGAAATATTTTAAAACAAAAAAACGCCCCTCCTGTATATATTTATGTTTTTTGTTTTGTATATGTAGGTCTATATATGTATTTTTATAAATCTATGTGTATATATGTCTGTATGTAGGTATATCATGAAAATTTAGGCATATTTTCTCCGTTTTTTTCTTTGAATAATTTTGTCATTTTCTAAACTTGATGCATGGTTATTTTTGGAGTTTCATATTCGTAAATTTAATTTTTTTTATTACATAATAAATTCGAGATTAACTAGTTATCCTGCTTTCTTATATAATCCAATATTAATTTTAAAACATTAATGAATTGCATCTAGGATTCGTTGCCGCGTTATTTAAATTATCATATACATGTAATTTGATTGGCCATTACATCTTACGTAAAATATTCACCTTAGAGGGGTAGAGGTTGGATTTGAACTCTTTAAAAACTTTTTATTTTTCAACCAACACCATCACTTGACAAGACACCATAAGTTTTGTAGTGATGTTATAACATACTTATGTTATAATATATATATATATATATATATATATATATATATATATATATAATAGAAATTTAGAAGGATTTGATAATTATATTTAAGTAATTCATCGAGTCTAGCAGAAACCTCAACAGAATGCAGAATGCCGTTTCGTCCTATATTTGGGATTTCATCAGCAGTACGCATCCACTACCGAGAATTGAAACCCGTACAGTTAGGCTGTCAAGCAAACATCATACCAACTGTTCTAATGGGCCTCGGTGAGACTGCAAATCAGACTCAATATAGCGCCGCTCGCTCACATATTCCGTGGTGGAACTCTACTGAGTTCTCTCTAACCATAGGATTCTGCCCCCTGGAGCCACGACTACTCTCACCAAGTTAATAACCCCAACCCCAAGAAGCCAGAGGAGAGTTTCACAAACGAGATGTGCGATACAGGAATCTGTTAACATAGTCATAGTTAACACCTAGTCATTTCAACTGCAAAATGATGAGAACTTGCCATAAATCTGGTACTGCACATAAATTCGTAAATTATAGGTATCATAGAGGAACGTCTATTAGAACGTATTACGATGAAAGTGTGTATAGAAAAAGACAGAGAGAAAATACGTTACGATGTTGGGGATATATATATATATATATATATATATATATATATATATATATATATATATATTACTAATAGAAATTTTATAAGTATAAGAAACTATACTCGCTCGGAAAACCTTCGGTGTCTTGATTTGCAAATAATCAAACCAATACCAAAGGTGGAAAAAGGTATAAATAAAGAAAGGACCAAGAACATGTACGTCAGCCGAAAATAATCGTCCAGCATGCAAGTCCAAGGCCCCCGACAAAAAAAAAAACAAACCCCGATACGAGTACGCAAAATAACTAAATAAAGTGCTCAATACAATGAGTAGAGCAGACCTAGTTAAACCTAGAGAGCTAGACAAACCTAAGCAGATCGCCAGGAATGGCTGGATCTAACTAAATAACTAACTATATATATATATATATATATATATATATATATATATGTGTGTGTGTATTAGCTCCCGGAAAAATTAAATCGGTCGAGCACTGTGCGGAGAAAGCACGAATTTGTAAACAGTGACTATTATTGCTAATAATGCAAAACCTCACAACGGATTGAGTCCGATAGGTCACAGACGTATTTATGAAAAAGTAAATACGCAAAAATTTGCCTTTCTCTCTGCCAGGTGCCAATAGCCTAGTGGTTAGAGTCTTCGATGCTAAATCGGTCGGGTTTCTGTCCCGGCTTGAAGCGATCGGGTGTCGAGTTACACTGTTGAGTTGTGATACAGCGAATCAGTCTGTCTGTGAATGACGATAAATAAATATATATATATATATATATATATATATATATATATATATATATATTAAATGTTTTTTTTCTTATATATCAATATGTGTGCAGGTGAATGCATACGGGTGTGGATGCATGTCTGCGATGCAATTGCTATGATTTAAATTTTTTATTTATGTTTTTGATTATCTTTTCGACTTTCGGTTGATTTTAAAGTAATTTATTTAAATTGCATTCTTCGTTTTCTATTTTGATCACATATCAATAAGTCAACCCCCAATCAACCCATACCTTCATACCTACACTCAGTCTGCATATATATATATATATATATATATATATGTGTGTGTGTGTGTGTGTACGTGCGTGGAGTCTTCCAATTTCTTTTTATGCGGTACAAGTAAATATTTATTTCGCCCGATGCACATATAATCGCTTCGAATGCAACAAATTGTCAGTCATTTTATCTTATTATCTTTTATCGGTTAAAAAAAGATTTAAACATACGAATCAAGCAAACATACAAACAAGTTGGTCGTATCGGAAGTCTGTTGTTATGTCGTTTTTGTCATTCTATCTTTAATTTGTGAAGCGTCCATTTAACAACTTACGTGTTGACTGCTTTTGTTTTATTTTATGACGTTCAACCGATATTCAATAAGATTGCTTCTTTAAAAACGTAATGTAATAAGTCTTTTGCTATTTCAGATGTCTTTGATTTCTTCGTCGTTCTCTCTCTCTCTATCTATCTATCTATCTATCTATCTATCTATCTATCTAATGATAATTTATCACTACAATACATATCTATCTATGTAATGATAATTTATCACTACAATACATATCTATCTATCTATCTATCTATCTATCTATCTATCTATCTATCTATCTATCTATCTATCTATCTAGCTCTCTATCTATCTATCTATCTATCTAATGAGAATTAATCACTACAATACGTATCTATCTATCTATCTATCTATCTATCTATCTATCTATCTATCTAATGATAATTTATCACTACAATACATATCTATCTATGTAATGATAATTTATCACTACAATACATATCTATCTATCTATCTATCTATCTATCTATCTATCTATCTATCTATCTATCTATCTATCTCAGTCTGTATCTATCTTAAACATACTAATCTATCTACCTCTTGTCATATCTATCTATCTATCTATCTATCTATCTATCTATCTATCTAATGATAATTTATCACTACAATACATATCTATCTATCTATCTATCTATCTATTTATATATCTATCTATCTATCTAATGATAATTTATCACTACAATACATATCTATCTAATGATAATTTATCACTACAATACATATCTATCTATCTATCTATCTATCTATCTATCTATCTATCTATCTATCTAATGATAATTTATCACTACAATACATATCTATCTAATGATAATTTATCACTACAATACATATCTATCTATCTATCTATCTATCTATCTATCTATCTATCTATCTAATGATAATTTATCACTACAATACATATCTATCTATCTATTTATCTCAGTCTGTATCTATCTTAAACATACTAATCTATCTACCTCTTGTCATATCTATCTATCTATCTATCTATCTATCTATCTCAGTCTGTATTTATCTTAAACTTGCTAATCTATCTATCTCTTGTCATATCTATCTATCTATCTATCTATCTATCTATCTATCTATCTATCTATCTATCTATCTCAGTCTGTTTGTATCTATCTATCTTAAACATACTAATCTATCTACCTCTTGTCATATCTATCTATCTATCTATCTATCTATCTATCTATCTATCTATCTATCTATCTCAGTCTGTATTTATCTTAAACTTGCTAATCTATCTATCTCTTGTCATATCTATCTATCTATCTATCTATCTATCTATCTATCTATCTATCTATCTCAGTCTGTTTGTATCTATCTATCTTAGACATACTAATCTATCTACCTCTTGTCATATCTATCTATCTATTTGTAGCATTTCATTCATTATCTAACTCTCAATAACTTTATTCATCATATTTATCTATTTTAACGTTTTCTGTTTATATATATATATATATATATATATATATATATATATATATACGTATATGTGCGTATATGTGCATATCTATATGAATATGAAAAAGCGAAGTACATTTGATTTTACGGTGTCAAATAAAGGAAGCCAATTCTAATCTGCAATATTAAAAACCTACTTGTTGCCGCTTCGGAGATCATGTCCACACCGTATTGTCACATTTTTAGTTACTTGACTAATTTGTTTTATTGATTTTTAAAATTATAAATTAATGCGCGTACGTATTAAAAAAGAATTACGTCAACCTACCACTCTTAATCGATATGCAAAATCGATAAGAGCCTCTTCATTTGTTCTCGAAGGTGATAATGACTCTACCTGCATGTCTTCGGCGTACATTCGTTCAGATTTAGACTACCAATATCGACATTGGATAAAAGACATTGCAGAACACAATAGACACCGCTGCAGAATTTCATTCCGACGCAACTGAAATGGAAATAGTGACAAAAACATATTCCTTCTTGTTTATTTGTCTTTTCGCTGGAATCAATTCTGATCAAAGAGCGACTCCCTAATATCAGAAAACATTAACCAGGAGTCACAGACGAATTCGTTGTTGTCGTCGGAACTGCGACATTTCTTCATCCTACGTCAGTTGATTCTTATTCATCCTGACACAATAGAAATGATTCTACAAGTTTATCACAAATCAATTGTCTTCACCGTCGCACAAACAACACACCGGTATGATGGTGCTATGTTCCAGATCGCGTCAATTTCCCCCCATATCCAGAAATACCCGGAGACTATTGACAGATCAGGATGCTGTAGACTATGGCAAAAGTACCTAAAAAGATAAATAAAAAATAAATGAAAACGTTGTCTTTTACGATCGATCGATCGATCGATCGATCTATATCTCTCTCTCTCTCTCTCTCTCTCTCTCTCTATATATATATATATATATATATATATATATATATATATATATATATATATATATATAAACGGTAGTGAGTGTAGGCGTTTTAAATATCTCTTTTACTAACAAAGTTCTATTTTTCTTACGAGTTCATCGTCGTCGGCTTTTAATTTCTTCTTTACGGTCCTTCCTTTATGATGATGGTGTCGATGCCTACATTCAGCGCCAATGCACAGGTTCACGACGAGAAGCATCCAGTTTCACAAAAGCCTGCCGCCGTCATCCATTCCCTATTGCCGTTTGTTATTGCAAGGGTTATTGTTCGAGCTGAAAGAAAATCAGGAACTTGATTTCATGACATCCCTTTGCGTAACATATGGAATGAGACATGCAGAATCTAGTTATGGAACTGCAACGGACTGCCGCTGACTCAATAACTATAATATCGAGTGGCGCCTTCTGTAGCATATCCATCATGCGTAGCCCACTTCATCCACTGGTTCAACCGTCGAGATCTGTTGTAATCACCATCCAGTTTTTCCACCGTTGGGGTCTCTGGGGGTTGGTTGCTCTTGATCCTCGTCTTCGATCTTGCCGCCAGGGGTGGTCCTCGACCAGGAGTTTAGAATTCCCGGCGGAATTGTTTTCAGACTCACCCCACTTACCTACACTATATAAAATGGGCGATCATGGCCTTCCATAACTTCCAGTCCTTTGTAGCTCTTAGCAGTGTTTGTCTTTTTGCTATCTTTCCTAATCCCTGTTCTGCTAACCATCAGTAGATTGTTCTCTGCTCTCCTCTCTTTCTCTCTCCCTCTCTCTTGTATTCAACATGTGCTTTGATTGTTAAATCATCTAGGCTCTCTTTCCTCATTATGTTCCCAAGAAATCTCAATTGTCTCTTTCTGAACTTTCCATTTTGTTTCCATTGTCTTTAAAACTTCCACTTTGAAGAAGAAAAAAAAACTAGGAAGAAAAATGTGAGAATGTATGAAGAGAGAGAGAGAGAGAGAGAGAGAGAGAAAGAAAGTTGAAAAGAGAATAAAAGAAAATAATAAGGAAAAATGAAAGAGAAGAAAGAAAGAAAGAAAAATAATAGTAAATGGAGAATGAAGAGTGGAAAGAACAAGTGATGGTTAATATAGAAAGAAAGATATAATATTAATAATATAAATAATAATTTATCACTACAATACATATATACATTATCTATCTATCTATCTATCTATCTATCTATCTATCTATAACATAAACTACAATAAAGCCTTCCTCAGGGATAATTGATCGTAATAATTAATACACAAATACACACACACACACACACACACACACACATATATATATATATATATATATATATATATATATATATATATATATATATATATATATATAGCGATTTTCCAAGCGTAGCTTAGATGTAGCACAAGGCCGAAATTACGGGGCGCGCCCGCTGAGGATCGAACTCACTACTCAGTCGTAATTATTTTGCGAGAAATACGTCGAAATACGTCGATGTGCATATATATATATATATATATATATATATATATATATATATATATATATATATATATATATATATATAAAGAGCCTGAGTAAAGAAAGAAAAGGAAGGAAGAAAGGAAGAAAGAAAGAAAGAAAGGAAGAAAGGAAAAAGAAAGGAAGAAAGAAAGAAAGGAAGACAGGAAGGAAGGAAGGAAGGAAGGAAGAAAGAAAGAAAGAAAGAAAGAAAGAAAATGGTTAGAAAAGGTAATAAAAAATTAAAATAGTAATAGAGAAGAAAGAAATTAAGAAAGATTGTTTATTTGATTTTGTTTAACGCCATATTAAAATCTCTATGGGTTATTTAATGCCGAAATCTGAAATATTTTGAACATATTTTATGGCTTTAACTACAGATAAAATGTGTTGTTGGTCATTTTGCTATAAGATTTAATGTTGGTAATTCTGTTTAAATATGTATTGTTGGTAACTTTACTCTAAAAATGTATCGTTAGCAATCTTTTTATATAATGTGTTTCTGGTATCTTTACTATAACAATGTATTTTTATACTTTCATGGTGTTTGGGCGTTCAATATATGACTATAGTTGGAACCCTAACAGGTGCTACCAGCCAGGATCAATGTGTACCTGAGGACAACAGCAATCAAGAGGCGGTTCCATGCACATCTTTTGTTTATTGCATCGCTGTATCGGTTGAGTTAATCTTGACCATCTTACTGGTTGGCAACAGAATCCAATTCAGATCTTATCTTCATTTAGAATCGAATTAAAATATTTACTGAATTTGAAGACTTCACTCAAGGTGTTTTCATTATCGTATAAAACTTAGCAATTCTCTTAAGTTGTACTGAACAAAATCTTAAACTTCGTGTTGAAACAGCAGTAAAATATATATAAACAGTCACGCTGTCATCCATTGTTACAAACCAGACTAAATGAGAATCTTGCATAATAACTCAGTATTTTGTAATATGGAAGTACACATATGATTTACCCCAGATGACGCGTGAATAGACTTCACACTCAATATCATGATGAAATAAGTGTTGTAGGGTGTGAAATAAATGATGAATTCACAGGGTAGTGTAAACACTTTGAAGTTTGTCATGGCTGGACAGTAAGTAATATGCAGCTCCAGACCAGATATGTGAGTAATACGCTTTTCTTCGTTTGAGCTGTCATTACAATTCTAAGCAAGGCTATAAAGCCACTAAGACGCAAAGGTTTACTGAGTATTAGAGAATATGAGAAAAACACAATATAAAAGAGAGAGAACAATAAAACAAAAGGAATTAAGAGAAGATAACGTTTAAATTTTTGAAGAAAAATGTTGACAGGGAAGCAGAAGCCTGAAAGAGAGTTCCACGAGCGAGAAATTCGATAGAAGAAACTATTAGAGTAGAACTTACGGTTACATCTAACCAATTCAACTGTAAAATGATGAGACCTAGTCGCCAATTTAGTACTGCGCTTAAATTCATAAAGTATGAATCAGAACATATTACCATGAAAGAATTTATAGAAAATAGAAAAGGCAGAGGAAAACTATGTTACGACGGTGAGATTTTTATATATATATATATATATATATATATATATATATATATATATATATGTGTGTGTGTGTGTGTGTGTGTGTGTGTGTGTGTGTGTGTGTGTACTGGGTGTCCATAAAGTTCGTGTGCACTTTAAAAATTTATAACTATTTGTATTTTGCGATAGAAATAATCTGT